GACATTGAGCAACATCCCTGAAGAACCCTGTGTGGAAGAACACTTGAACTCTTTGAAAAGTGATGTGGAAAAAAACCCGCATAACTGTATTAGGAAAGAAAAGGAAACAAGACAAGATATGGGTTTTGACGGATACATCGAAGCTGATAGAGAAGAGGAGGATGGTGAAGCAGATGAATCAGTGCAAGGACGCACAACGAAAAGACGAACTGAGTACAACGTACAAAACACTAGATAAAGAAGTGAAAAAGGGTGCACACAAAGACAAAAGACACTTCCACAACACACTGGCAAGTGAAGTAGAATAGGCTGCAGGCAGGAGAGACAGAGACCTGATAACATTATACCAAATAACCAGGTTACTTTACGGGAGTGAAGAGATCAACGCAGATGAAACCAAAAAAAGATGAAGAAGGATATCTAATTACCAAAGAAGAGAAACAAAGGAAATGATGAGCTGACCACTTCGAAAAGCTCTTGAATCGACCACCACCTGTAACTCGTTCAGAAATACCACCAGCAACAGCAGGACTACAAGTGAACACAGACTCTCCGACAAAAGCACAAGTCCTAAATGCCATAAAGTCAGTGAAATCCGGAAAGCAGCAGGACCAGATGACATCCCACCAGAAGCACTGAGAAAAGACACAGAGACAACAGTGGACATGCTCACACCACTACTGCATAAGGTTTGAAAGAAAGGGAAGGCACCTGGCGATTGGAAGAAGGGCTATATTATCAAACTCCCAAAGAAAGCAGGCCTAGGCCTTTGCAAGAACTGGCAAGGAATCATGCTTCTGTCCACCCCAAGCAAAATATTATATCGCATCATCCTGGAGAGACTAAAAGATGCGCTGGATTCGAAATTACGACTGTAACAGGCTGACTGGCTTCAGGAAGAACAAATCATGTGCAGATCAAAGTGTATCGCTACGCTACTCATCATCACTAAACAGAACACATAATGGCAGTCAACTCAACCTCAACTTCATCGACTTTGAAAAGGCCTTCAACAGCGTCGGCTGACAAGTAATTTGGCAGGCAGCTGCTTCAGTACTACGGTTTTAGTGTCACAAACCTCTTTCAACGTCATTCAACAACTATATGAAGACGCCACATGCCAAGTGATTCACAAGCTGAAGTGAAGACAGGAGTAAGACAAGGCTACCATCACTGATGATCTTCTTGATTGTGGTCTACTGGATCATGCAGCGAACTGTGAAGAGCGAGAAGAGGGACATACGCTGGACATGATTTGTTCTTCCTGAAGCCAGCTAGCCAGCCTATCCGGTCGTAATTTTTAATCCAGTGCATCTTTTAGTCTCTCCAAGATAATGAGGCATAATATTTTGCTTGGGGTGGACAGCAGCATGATTCCTCGCCAGTTCTTGCAAAGACTTCGGTCACCCTTCTTCGGTGGTTTGACAAGGTATCCCTTCTTCTTATCTTCAGGTGTACCTTTCTTTCCTACAACTGTTAAATATACAATTAAAATTTACAATTATATTTATGAAGATATCCTAGGAGTATATGGATAGAAATTATATATATGCATAACATCTTTTGTATTCATATCATCTTAAATTCCAAGTTTTATTTTAAATGAAAAAAGGAGAGAAGATATACCTTCTTCTAGGATTTTTATCACATTAGTTGAAATTAAAACGTCATTTATGTACTATATGCATAACATCTCATCTTTGAAGACAATAATTCTATTGACAACATGCAATAATAAAATTATTCATGGTTGTATTTAACAAATTTTTTTTTTTGGAAACGTAAATTAATGCCAAAAGAAGAAAAGAGAAATGCAGCATTTAAAAAAAAGGGAGACGAAAGCACAAATTTTAGTTTCTCTGAAATTTCATTCACTGGAGGACAAAACTAGGAAATCTATCATAAAAAAGATCACTTTTTAGCTCGATAGTGGATATATATATATATATATATATATATATATATATAGGCATTGGGAAAGAAAAACGATACAATCCAGTTAATACAAATGATAGGGATTTAAGAAAAATAGAAAGAAATATAATTCTTAAGAAGGAACTCTGGGAACAAATCAACTAAAAAATATGCAGAATAAAAAGTGGAGATGGATTGGATTGAGAAGGCTGACTAGGGATATCACGCGCCAAGCCAGGTTGCAGCGTGGAACCCAGATGGGAAACGACGAGATGGGTGTCCCAGTTGAGGGTGATATGAAGGAGATGATGTGAGTAAGAAATGAGAGGTTGTGGGAAGTCGTGGAGCCAGGTTGAAGAGACTGTAGAGAATAGAGTGGAATGGAGACGTGCTACTGAAGCCCTATGGATTTGGATTTCGTCGATGACTTGTGTCTAGCGTCATACAAACTCAAAGATGTACAAGGCGAAAACTAACAAGTTGATAGAAGAGGAGAGGTAGCGAAAACGGGACTTCAAGCGAATGTAGGGAAGACAGACGTGATGAAGATACCCAACCAACAACAACAACAACATGCTCCAATCAGCATCAACAGGAGAAACTTAAAGGAAGTAGCCTCCTTCAGCTATCTAGACAGCACAGACAAGTATGTCAAAGCAGCCACGATCGGAAATACAGCAAGACAGGCTTTCCTTCGTTAACCTGAAATCAGTGTGAAGATCTTCTGCACTCCACTCAGCATAAAGCGTGAACAACATCCGGATTTTCAACACCAATGTCAAGTCAATGCTTCTATGTGATGGTTGAGAGACTTGGTGGGACGTTACGAAAGACATTTCCAACAAACTACAGACACACATTCATCAACAACTGCATACACTGGCTCCTTACTGAAGCTCAGATGGATGGCCAGAATGGTGAGAATAAGCAACAAGGAACTCACTGTGGCTGGCTGGCAGCGAACCAACCAACAACCTATCACTGAACAAATATGCAGTGGAAGGAAGTGGAGATGGATGGGATTGGGCATGCACTGAGAAGGCAGACTGGGGACATCACGTGCCAGTCCAGGTATTCAAATGGAACCCATATGGGAAGTGACGAGTTGGGCATCTGAGGTGAGAGTGACATGGAGTAGATGATGTGAGGAAGAAATGAGAACTTGTGGACAGTGGTGGAGCCAGGTTAAAAAGTTTGCAGAGAGGAACCCAAGGGATAAATAATAATAACAATAATAATAATATCTCATGAAATGTTGTAAACACTGTGCAAAATATCTATGGTGTTCACGAGTTAAATGATGAGAAATTGAAATATTTAGGGAAAATTTTTTTCGTTTGAATGAATTCATAAATTCAAGCCACATACATCTAGATTGTTCTCTTGAATTTAGCATTAAATCATTTCATGTAAAGTTTTTTTCTGCGAGTTAAAACTAGGAAAACTTAAGAAAAGTAAGCTTATTAAAATCTTTATAAGGAACCTTTAACTCCTAAAGCCATTCATAACCAATCGTGTTGCATTAAAATTTCGACAACAGCCACATCAACCAACGTGTTAATACTAGATTGATTTAGGAGACAAAATATAGAGGATATACCCTACTAGATAGGCCTAGAAAGAGTAGTCGTCTTATAGGTTGCTTAGATGTTATGCTTTAACAAACTATTCATCCTTGCTGAATACAAACGGACTTCAAAACAAAAATGTATGAGATATGACCTACAAATGTAACAATAATGAACAAGCAAGTATACTGTCAAGGTCATCGCTTTGTGAATATGAGTAAAACATCAGTGCTTGTTACTTAGTGAATGCACCCGTTCTAAAATAAAGCTCAGAGACATGAATCTGCTAATATTTGGAATTATTATTATTATTTTTCCCTTGGGTTCCTAGTCGAATAAACGGCTTCAGTAGCACGTCTCCATTCCACCCTATTCTCTGTAATCTTTTCAACCTGACTCCATGACTGACCACAACTTCTCATTTCTTCCTCACATCATCTCCTCCATGTCACTCTCACCTCGGACGCCCAACTCGTCGCTTCCCAAATGGGTTCCATTGGAGTGCCTGGCCTGGCGCGTGATATCCCTAGTCAGCCTTCTCAGTGTACGCCCAATCCCATCCATCTCCACTTCATTCCACTTCATTCCACTGCATATTTGTTGACCGATAGCTTCTTGGTTGGTTCGTTGACAGCCAGCCACAGTGAGTTCCTTGTTGCTTATTCTTATTATTCTGGCCACCTACCTGATCTTCAGTGTCAGTATCGAGCCAGCGAAGGCGGCAGCTGTTGATGGATGTTTGTAGTTTGTTGGAAATGCTTTTCATGGCACGCCAAGTCTCTCAACCATATAGAAGCACTGAATTGAGTGACATTGGTGTTGAAAATCCAGATCTTGTTCACGCTTTGTGCTGACTGCAGTGCAGTGGATCTCCACGCTGACTTCAGCTTAATGAACACCTGTCTTGCTGTATTTCTGATCCTGGCTTTGACGTCCTCGTCTGTGCCACCACCGTTGCCTGTAGTTGAAACGATGCTACCCAGGTGGGTAGGTGAAAGAGACTACTTCCCATAAGTTTCTCCGGTTCATGGTGATAGGAACTTGTTGTTGGTGGTGGTAGCGTTCCTTGGGTATCATCATCACCTCCATCTTCTCTACGTTCACTTGAAATCCCGTCTTCGCTGCCTCAACTCTTCTGTCAAATTGTTGGTTTTTGCCTGTAGATCTTCGAGTTTGTGAGACGTTAGACACAAGTCATCGGCGAAATCCAAATCTTCCAGGATCTTTTCCCCGGTCCAACGTGTGCCCATCTTCTCGCTCCTAACTATTTGCTGCATGATCCAGTTCACTACAATCAGGAATATCATGGGTGATAGTAGACAGCCTTGTCTTACTCCTGTCTTCACTTCAAAGGTATCACTCAGCTATATTGAGAATAAGATTGATTTTAATCTCTCCGACAACGGTAGTACATCAAGAAGACGTGAGATTTTCAGTAAACAATTTTTTCCTCATGCTAGTAAGTGCACTGAAATGATGTGCTAAGAAACTATTGTATGTCTGTTGCAGGGTATCGGTTCATCTGAGACGATAAAATATTTTGATAATAACGTGATTATTTTGTCTACTTAAATATTTTATTTCGCATTGCTTACTTTTACTCCTAGAACTATGCGATACCTCAGTGCTTATTGTTCCGCCTTTAGAGCAGCTGAAGTCTTTGCATTGACCAATAGCTTCTGCTAATGAATAGGTGGATGTAGACGGTTTCAGTGATTTGTTTTTTCTTCTCTCATAGGCATCATTTGACTTAACCGATGGTGAATCAACAGACCGACTATTTCTAGCTATAAAATTCACATGACGTGTTCGTGTACGTTCTTTTCGTTCTAAGCGTGATCGACTGGGAATAAGACCAATTGGACCGGTTGGTTCATTCTTCTCTGGATCAAATCTTTGAGCCTATTTCATTTTGATGAAAAAAAAGAAAGAAAGAAAAGATTCATTTAGGATCTGTATCATGGAAATATCAAGCTGCTCGCTTAAAAAACCCACAAATTTGGCATTTAGTTTTTTTCTAGTCCAAGAATGTTTATGGATTTCGGTGGCTTATTCAGTTCCACCTATATCATACACTGATTTGATAAAAATCACCATTTCACTGATTTGTTGGCACTTATAAATTAATCATGAACAAAATTCATATATTTGTCTAAAAAATAAACTGTGAGAAACAAAAAATGGCTAATGAATAAGATTTTTGATGTACACGTTTAAAATTTCAAACGATCTCAACCTTAATCCTGGCATTCGCTATCCTTATATTTGATAGGCTGTAAGAAGACACGCTAAGCTGACCACCATATAGCTTTGTAGACGGATTCCATTTCGACTAAGAACAATACACCAATCAACACTCTACCTCAACTTTATTGAATTCAACATTACGGAACACCACAAATCTTTATCAACGTCATCCAACAACTATATGAAGACGCCACATACCAAGTAATTCACAATGGAAAGCTCAGTGACGCCTTTGAAACGAAGACAGGAGTAGGACAAGGCTGCCGCCTACAATCCCCGATGATCTTCCTGATGGTGGTGGACTCGACTGGATCATGTAGCAAACCGTGAGAAGTGAGAAAAGGGGCACATGCTGGACCGATGAAAACAGCCTAGAAGATTTGGATTTCGCCAGCGACTCATGTCTAATGTCTCGACGCATAAAATCGAAGATATACAGGCGAAAATTAACAAGTTGACAGAGGAGGTGAGGCAGCGAAGACGGAACTTCAAGTGAACGTAGTGAAGACGGCAGTGATGAAGATACTTAACTAACATCACCACCAACAAGAACAAGAGGCACCAATCACCATGAACAGGAGAAACTTAAAGGAAGTAGTCTCTTTCACCTACCCACCTAGGCAGCATCGTTTTAACTACAGGCAACAGTGGAGGCACAGACGAGAACGTCAGGGCAGCCAGGATCAGAAATACAGCAAGACAGACTTTCTACCACTAATCTGAAATCAGTGTGGAGATCTACTGCACTCCACTCACCACATAAAACAACATCCGGATTTTCATTACCAATGTCAATCAATTCAGTACTGCTATATGATTCAGAGACTTGGCGTGTCATGAAAAGCATTTCCAACAAACTACAGACACATTCATCAACAACTGCATACACTGGCTCCTTACTGAAGCTCAGATGGATGGCCAGAATGGTGAGAATAAGCAACAAGGAACTCACTGTGGGTGGCTGGCAGCTAACCAACCAACAACCTATCACTGAACAAATATGCAGTGGAAGGAAGTGGAGATGGATTGGATGGGCATGCACTGAGAAGGCTGACTGGGGACATCACGCGTCAGGCCAGACCAGGCTGCTGAATGGAACCCAGATGGGCAACGATGAGTTGGGCATCTGAGGTGAGTGTGACATGGAGGAGATGGTGTGAGAAAGAAATGCAAGCATGTGGACAGTCGTGGTGTCAGGTTGAGAAGACTGCAGAGAGGAGAGTGGAATGGAGGTGTGCTACTGAAGCCCTTTATTCCACCATGAACACAAGTGAAAAATGCTAAACAATAGTAAGAATGATACAAATTGGATTCAATGAGTAGATTTCGTTTATCAAATCAATCACCACATCATCATAAGTCTTAATATCAGCTGACATTTAGACTCAGTTTCTAAAACCAACTAAAATAAGTCGGTTTGATAATTTGACATTTCTATGGAATGCAGTTTTTCATCATGGATACTTCAATACGGATAGCATTTTATGCTGTACAATCGTTCTACGCGTTTAAAGCATACTGAATCGTTCATTATTTCAATAAAATTTATGCAGAATTAGTCAGAATTTCAATTACAGGTAACCAAATGATCCTTCTCCTTCGTCGACCCAGAAGTCATCACCATGAAAATCCGTTCTAAGCAAACAGAGAAAAAGTTTCTGGTAGAGAGAAAATGTGAACAAAAAATAACTCCATTCAAATATATCTTCTAAGAATAAGTCATTCAGTGGGTTTTATTTTAGATTCCAAACTGAATGAAGCTGTATTTCTTGATCTGAAGATGGTGTTTGACTTCATCAATCCAGACGTTTTACGGTTATGTCTCTCATTGAAAAGTTTATGGAGTAAGTACATCACTGTCTTGAATGCTCCTTACTCGAACACCTGTGGGAGTGTTAGAACCTATGGTGAGATATCAGATGAGTTGTGTACGTCGAGTGGTGTCCGTCAAAGATCCCTACTCTCTCTATTCCTATTCAATTTAACCACAGATGTTCCTATGCAGGTCTCCTTCTCGACATACAACTACACAGGGATTAACCTAATCACAGGGAATTTCTATTAGACCTAGAATACCCAATAAAATAGTCCTGTTATGTGAAGAAGCTGAGAAGCTGCAGAGTCTTCTGTATATCTTGAGTGGCAGTTTGAGAATGTTTAGGATGCGTTTCTCGCCAACCAAGTTCAAATTGTCGCTCCAGGACTGGTCTTCAACGGTACCCCAGCTAACAATAGAGAGTGAAGTTGTTGGGCGCGTTGAACACCTCACTTATCTTGGAAGTCGGATCAGCACTGGTGGGTTAGTGACTGATGAAATCTCTGCTCGCATACAAAAGGCTTGGTTGTCTTTTCCCAACTTTTGCCATCTGCGGCACTGCCGCGATATCGACTTGTCTATTAAGGGTCGAGTGTACCGCGCTGCAGTACGCTCTGTTCTATTGTATGACTGGGAAACAGGGCTGTTAAAAGTAGAAGATATGAGAAGGCTTCAGGCGTTTGACCATCGCCGTCTTTGTAGCATAGGGTGTGTTTCGTGGTATCAGCAAGTGGGCAACGCATGAGTCAGACAATGAGACATTTCATGCGGTTGTGAACTTTCATCGACTAAGATGGCTAAGCCATTTGCTACTTACGCATAGTCACTCTCTGCCTCGTTGCACAATGTTGACCGAATTAGATTCAGGTTGGAAAAAGGCTTGGAGTAGCCAAACCAAAACATGGCATCAATGCATGAACTCATTGACTATTGGTTTGAGCCATGTAGAGCGATGCAGACTATCCAGTAGAGGTCAACGGGACAGGAGAAATCAGAGATTTAGGACTCAAAGCGATATGGTTCAAAACCGATATCAGTGGCGCAGATGTATACATACATCATCCTAAACTTAGCCGCTATACCTAATATCATCTTTTTCGCATTCCTCCTTTCTCTATTTCATCATTATTATTATATTATTTGTTCCTTGGGTTCCTAGTCAAACATACGGCTTCAGTAGCACGTCTCCATTACACTCTATTCTCTGAAATATTTTCAACCTGACTCCACGACTGCGCAGAACCTCTCCTTTCTTCCTCGCACAATCTCCCCTATGTCACCCTCACCTCGGACGCCCAACTCATCGTTTCCCATCTGGATTCCACTCGAGTGCCTGGCACGTGATATCCCCAGTCAGCCTTCTCAGTGCATGCCCATCCAATCCATCTCCACTTCCTTCCACTGCATATTTGTTCAGTGATAGGTTGTTGGTTGGTTCGTTGACAGCCAGCCACGGTGAGTTCCTTGTTACTTATTCTTATTATTCTGGCCATCCATCTGAGCTTCAGTAAGGAGCTAGTGTATGCAGTTGTTGATGAATGTGTGTCTGTAGTTTGTTGGAAATGCTTTTCATGACACGCCAAGTCTCTCAATCATATAGCAGTACTGAATTGATTGACATTGGTGTTGAAAATCCAGATCTTGTTCACGCTTTGTGCTGACTGCAGTGCAGTAGATCTCAACACTGATTTCAGGTTAACGAAGGAAAGCCTGTCTTGCTGTATTTCCGATCGTGGCTGCTTTGACGTCCTCGTCTGTGCCACCACCGTTGCCTATAGTTGAAACGATGCTGCCCAGGTGGGTAGGTGAAAGAGACTACTTCCTTTAAGTTTCTCCTGTTCACGGTGATAGGAACTTGTTGTTGGTGGTGGTAGCGTTCCTTGGGTATCATTCACCCAAAGAAAGTCCCGTTTTCGCTGCGCCTTCTGTCAACTTGTTGAATTTCGCCTGTAGATCTTCGAGTTTGTGTGACATTAGACACAAGTCATCGGCGAAATCCATATTTTCTAGGCTCTTTTGATCTGCACAGCCAGCGTGTGCCCTTCTTCTTGCTCCTCAAAGTTGTCTGCTGCATCATCCAGTAGACCACAATAAGGAAGACCATGGGTGATAGTAGATGGCAGTCTTGTCTTACTCCTGTCTTCGTTTTAAAGGAGTCACTAACCTTTCCATTATGAATTACTTCTCGGTCGACGCTGTCGAAGGCCTTTCGAAAATCGATGAAGTTGGTGTAAAGAGTTGACTCCTAACTCCAGTATTAAGCAATACATATTCAAACAGCCTGGAAAACACCGTATTCCTCATAGTTGAACATATAACTTTTTATAGAGTGCTAACAAGCTTTGCTGCTGTCTACAAACATTAAACATTGAAAATTAAAAGAGAGTATCTAGTGTAAAACCATGTCTAAGACTAGTAGGGGTCATAAATAATAGAAATGAAATAGTAAAACTATTCACAACAATACATCACACTTACCTGCCACCATTCTGAGTCAACTGTATTAACAATGTAAATTAAATCACCTGATCTTAAATTGAATACTTTCTTAGGGATACTTTGATGATGATTCTCTTTAGTTGGATCATAGTCAACTTGACATCTTAATATTAATACATTTGAATAGGTGATCATTTCATTCGATTTCTTATCATCTTCTAATTTTATCTTCATATTTCTATCCTTCTTCTTTAGTTGACGTTTTTGTTGTTGACATTCAGAGTGTACTGATTTGTCAACTTGTTTATTCATAGTATTTTTCTGTTTCAATTTCTTTTCATTTATATCTTTAAACTGATGACTATTGATTGGTTGTTTGTCTTGAACAATTTTCTCTGAACCATTAACATTATGATAATTAGTATTATTATTATTATTATTATTATTTCAGATTTCATTGAAAGTAAAGTTTTATAAGATAATTTATGACCAACTGCTTTCAACTGCCGACAGAAATGTTTTTCAAATTCAGCATATTCTAGGTAAACAAAAAAAGGGATATATAAATATACTTATATGAATTACATCATAGAAAGATATAAATGTGTAGTAAATAGCTTAGAACTAATTCATAGTCTGTACAAGTAGCAGTCGAGTATTGTTCATTTGTCAACTGATGTTAGATTTCAACAGTAGGTGCAAAAAAAGACAAAGTGATATGTTATTCAACAACTTGAGTAATTAAAAATCCTCCAAGCTGATCTACAGACTTCAATAACCAGATCAGAGTGAGATAAATGCTAGATGGTAGTTTTTCTTAGTTGAACCCGAACTGACCAGCTGTGTACCCGGATAAATGTTTGCATAGTAAGAGTATATGTCAACCAATCAACGAATTACATTACTGTCGGAGCAGAAATTAAACTACTAGTCATACTGTAAAATGGCGTGAGAATGTTCACATCGATAACAATGTTTTATACAAAACTGATGCCTTACAACGGAGGTACCTACTGAAACTTTTTTATATATACTATCAAAGTTGAACTTTGTGAAAGAATCATGGTAACAATTAGGAAACAAAATAAATACCGTTATTGCTTGTATTACACCGTCATTGATTGGACCGAAATTGACCAGTCTCTGCTATGATATGGGCTCCTGTGCAGATGCCTTGGTATTGTCTGTCTTTTAACTATGTATAGTAATGATGGGCAGTGGCTAGCAGTGGAATCCAGGATGCCCATTTCGTCCTATCTGGGACTCACCAGTCACCTGGATGTACCTGGCTTCCCAGTGAGTGATGATGTTCCCACTGGGATTCGGACTCGGGAGCGATCGCTTCAATCGCGAGAGCGTTATCCACTACATCACCGAGCCACGATGGCACAGAAGCCCATATGCCAATAGAGACTGATCAATTTCGGTCCAATCGACGACGATGTAATACAAGCAATTACACTAAACCTTTACCCGTCGCACAAGAAATGGTTATCGTGGCTAGGTGGTGTAGTGGATTACGCTCTCGCGTTTGAAGCGACCACTCCCGAGTCCAAGTCCCAGTGGGAACATCATCATTCACTGGGAAGCAGGTACATCCAGCTGACTGTTGAGTCCCAGATAGGACGAAATGCGCATTCTGGATTCCACTGCTAGCCACTGCCCATCATTACTAAACAAAATAAATAGTTTTACAAAAAGACTAATTGAGCTATGAAAGAAATATACTTCTTTTCAATTGGGTCCATCTTCATCTTGGGCTATACACTAATTTGCATAGTTTTATAACATAATCAAATTACCAATCACATGATGATATTTCAGAAGTGATGATGTAAATAATCAATAGAGTCACGAAAATTGGAATTATGAAACAAGCTATTCTTTGGCAAATGGAGTGACGTTAGTAAGTGTTCAGTTATCCACAATAGGCGATTACGTAATACCAAGAAATTAAATGAATATTGATAGGAACAAGGGGAAGGGGAAGAGGTGTACAAAGTAAACCTAGAAGTTACATCATCTTGACTGGCCACGGTAATGAAAGTGGTCGAACAAACTTCTTTTGGATACAAAGGTTAAGTTTGTAAAGGTGGATTGTAATCGCCTCTGCTATATGAAGTAAGCGCGAGTGTGTAATCCATGAGGTAAATTAATTGGAATCTGATGGATAATTTTGAAGGCTTTTCCAATAACCACTTGATGTCTTGTGTCAATTAAGTGGGCAAGTATGGAGCTCTTTATAGTTCTAATTTGTCCATTGTTCAACCATGATGGGTGGTGTTCAGAAATTCGATGATGGAATTGCCTCATTGTACGCTCAATATAACTAGCTCCACAGGAGCAGTTGAATTGATAGAAGTGGTAGAATCAAGCAGTTTGACACGATTTTTCTATGTAATTGGTTGGTAACTGAATAAAAAGGGATAGTTTTATTGCTTTTATCACATACAAATAGTACAGCCACAAGCTAAGAATGAAATATATGCAAAGTTACATATCAACCATGAATTCATTTTCCTCTAGAAGTTCTGGTTACCGTTTAATTCCGAACATTTTTGAAGGTATAATTTATACAGATTAAAATAAACAAGTTTATGACTTTGAGGCATTCATAGACTTGAAAATGAAAAATTTCATGCTTAGGTTTGAAGCGATAACAGTTAGCGATATCAAAATTCTAATGGGCAACATGAATGCCAAACTGGAACCGGTCAACACATGAAGAAAATTAACCATTATTCGAGAAGCGCTTGGTGAAATGAACAAGAATGAAGAATTGTTTGCAGACTACTGTGTATTCAATGATTTGGTGACTGGTGGCACTGTGTTCAAGCATAAAGATATCTACAAAGTGATATGGATTTCACCAGACACCAAGACACACTAAAAATCAGATCGACTTTATCTCAATCTCAAGAAAGTGGAGAGGTGGCCTTTGGACAGAAGATCAGATCAAGAAGGTGAGCAGATGTAGGTTCAGGCCACTCACTATCTACTGCAAGGAACCTAACTTCCAAATCAAGTTGAAAGCCACCAAAGAAGTTGGTGATAAACGAAAGTTTCAGTTCAACACCCAGGACGGGAACTGAAGGACGAAACTACAAACGACATCTTCACATCAGTCAGCCAGCCGGAGAAAATAGGAGATATCGAGCAACATCCCTGAAGAAACATGTGTGGATGAACACTGGAACTCTTTGAAAGAGATGTGGAAAGAAACCTGCATAACCGTATTAGGAGGGAGGAAAAAAAGATAAGGAATGGATCTCGACGGACAAATGGAAGCTGACAGAAGAGAGGAAGATGGTGAAGAGGAAGATAAAGCAGTGCAAGGATGAATAAGTAAAGCGTTTCAACTACGGGCAGCGGTGGCGGCACGGACGAGGACGTCAAAACTAGGATTAGAAAAGTAAAACAGGCTTTCATTAAGCTTAAACCAGTGTGGAGATCCACTGCACTCCGGATTTTTAACACCAATGTCAGTCAAGTCAGTGCTGCAATATGGTTCAGAAACTTGGTGTGTCATGAAAAGCATTTCTAACAAACTACAGACACACATTCATCAACAACTGCATACACTGGCTCCTTACTGAAGCTCAGATGGATGGCCAGAATAATAAGAATAAGCAACAAGGGACTCACTGTGGCTGGCTGGCAGCGAACCAACCAACAACCTATCACTGAACAAATATGCAGTGGAAGGAAGTGGAGGTGGATGGGAATGGACATGCACTGAGAAGACCATTCGGGGACATCACGTGCCAGGCACTCGAATGGAACCCATATGGGAAGCTACGAGTTGGGCGTCTGAGGTGAGAGTGACATGGAGGAGATGATGTGAGGAAGAAATGAGAACTTGTGGTCAGTCATGGAGTCAGGTTGAAAAGATTACAGAGAAGAGGGTGGAATGGAGACGTGCTACTGAAGCCGTGTGTTCGACTAGGAACCCAAGGGACAAATAATAATAATAATAATAATAAGGTTTACAGCAAGATTTTGTCATCTCAAATTGTAAGAGCAGCTACAGTACACTAAATGGTAGAATAAAATCAATGTTGAAAAACATGCGTTGTTAAATTTGCATGAAATTTTTACATACCAATACACAAACTAACCTTCAGGACTATAGACGACAAGAAGATCAACACGATCACGTGCATCACGTAGAGCTGCAGCCGCTTTCTCATGACCAAATTTAGTTACATCAATGCCATTTACCTAAAGATATTTGTAAAAATAACAAAACAGAATAAATGATACAAGGAAATTTTACGTTCATAGAAAACGTACTAAGAGATATCGATGAGGTGAAAATGTATTTTATTGTCTCAATAAGAATGAGAGTAACAACCAATCAATCACGAATGTTCTTCACATGTCTATCACAGTACGTTACGATTTTCATCAAACCATTTAGGCGCTTAAAACCTGGTTAATATTCCATACACTTTCTTGAATACAACATAAATATACACTGTGTAGGTTAGTAATCTACTCTTTCATCTTATCTCTGAGTTGCCTGTTGTTGTAATGTTAGTAGTAGCAGGATCATCTGGCATATAGTAACTTACGGAAGCATAACAGTTAGGAAATAGCTTTAGGTATACCCGTCCGTTCATTATTCACACTAATCGAGGTTAAAACCAGTAACCCTAACCAAACCATCAAGTTGGGAACATCACAAACTGTTTGTAAAGTAAAAGTACAATTGAAGGAATGGTAAAAATCAGTTTTTTCAATTATATTTAGACCACTCCTGTGAGAAATACCAGTGAGTAGTGTACATGACATTTTTCATTAGTCTAATTTACTTATTTTTAAAGCTTCCATGCAAACATTTATCTATATCTATTAGATTGAATCCATCTGATTGTAAATTTAATTGCATAATTAAGACTATAAACTGGCAAAGTATACCAGCACTAATGTGATTTCATAAAAAGTCCATACATTTTGAGCATATCGAAACCATGTTGGAATATTAATGTTACTGTTTGCATTATCCTGTTATGGCTTAGTGATCTAGTGGAGCGTTTGAAGCGATAGGTCCCGAGTTCGAATCCCAGTGGGGACAACATCATTCCGTACTGAAGAGTACCAAATAGGATGAAATGCACATCTTGGATTCTACTGTTAGCCACTATTCATCATTAATATATACAAGTTGGGATATGATAATGTGTAAAAATTTGGGCATTGGGTAAATGATAATCGTTAGTTTGTTGTCCATATTTCCAAGCAAATGAACGTAAAACAAAAGAAATTTTCAACAACAGTTATAAAAAATTCAGCATGAATTTTTTATTTATATTTCGAAAATTTTGAAGAAATTTGAAGCGATTTTATTTCTTAGACAGTGAAATATATCGATTTCTACCGACAAAAATTTTTGCTAGAGATATGTTTCAGGGTCATAACCCAACAAAGAACATAAAGTTCGTACCGTCTTATATCGCGTAAACATCCTTCTATAGTAAAGTACTATTATTATTATTTCTCCCTTGAGTTCCTAGTCGAACATAGGGCTTCAGTAGAATGTCTTCATTCCACTCTCTTCTCTACAATCTATCCAACCTGGCTCCACGACAGCCCACAACCTCTCATTTCCTCCTCATATCATCTCCTCCATGTCACTCTCACCTCAGACGCCCAACTCATCGTTTCCCATCTGGGTTCCACTCGACAGCCTGATCTGGCCTGGCACATGATGTCCCCGAATGGTCTTCTCAGTGCATGTCCATTCCCATCCACCTCCACTTCCTTCCACTGCATATTTGTTCAGTGATAGGTTGTTGGTTGGTTCGTTGACAGCCAGCCACAGTGAGTTCCTTGTTGCTTATTCTTATTATTCTGGCCATCCATCTGAGCTTCAGTAAGGAGCCAGTGTATGCAGTTGTTGATGAATGTGTGTCTGTAGTTTGTTGGAAATGCTTTTCATGACACACCAAGTTTCTGAACCATATTGCAGCACTGACTTGACTGACATTGGTGTTAAAAATCCGGAGTGCAGTGGATCTCCACACTGGTTTAAGCTTAATGAAAGCCTGTTTTACTTTTCTAATCCTAGTTTTGACGTCCTCGTTTGTGCCGCCACCGCTGCCCGTAGTTGAAAAGTTGCTGCCTTCCCTAGGTAGGTGAAAGCGACCACTTCCTTTAAGTTCCTCCCGTTCATGGTGATTGAAGCATATTGTTGTTGCTGGTGGTGGTGTTGGCTGGCTATCTTCATTACCTCTGTCTTCTCTGCATTCACTTGAAGTCTCATCTTCGCTGCCTTACCTTAGCTGTCAACTTGTTAGTTTTCGTCTGTAGATCTTCAGGTTTGTGCGACATTAAACGTAAATCATCGATGAAGTCCAAATCTTCTAGGATCTCTTCATCGTTCCAGCGTGTGCCCCTCTTCTCCTTCCTCAATGTTTGCTGTATGATTCAGTCAAGCACAATCAGGAAGATCATCGGTGATAGTGGGCACCCTGTTCTTACTCCTGTCTTCACTTCAAAGGCGCTGATGAGGTTTTCATTTTGAATTAATTGGCATGTGGTGACTGAGGTTGTATGCTCTATTCTATGGTGATGCGTCGCGCCGCAATTTGATCCGCACATGTTCTGTACTTCCTGAAGCCAGCCAGCCAACCTATTCCGGTCGTAATTGGGAATCCAGCGCATCGTTTAGTCTCTCCAGGATGATGCGGCTTAATATTTTGATTGGGATGGACAGCAGCATGATTCCTCGCCAGTTCTTGCAAAGACTTCGGTCACCCTTCTTCGGTGGTTTGGCAAGGTAGCCCTTCTTCCAATCAATAAACAGGTACCTTCCCTTCCTTCCTTTCTTCCAGACCTTCTGCAATAGTGGTGTGAGCATGTCCACTGTTGTCTCTGCGTCTTTTCTCAGTGCTTCTGGTGGGATGTCATCTGCTCCTGCTGCTTTCCGGATTTCAGTGACTTTATGGCATTTAAAACTTATGCTTTTGTCGGAGAGTCTGTGTTCACTTGTAGTTCTGCTGTTGCTGGTGGTATTTCTGAACGAGTTACAGGTGGTGGTCGATTCAAGAGCTTTTCGAAGTGGTCAGCTCATTGTTTCCTTTGTTTCTCTTATTTGGTAATTAGATATCCTTCTTCATCTTTTATTGGTTTCATCTGTGTTGATCTCTCCCCAGATAGTAACTTGGTTATTTGGTACAATGTCGTCAGGTCTCTCCTACCATCAGCCTGTTCAGCTTCACTTATCAGAGTGTCGTACAAGTGCCTTTTAAAGTGATTTACTACGGTGAACAAAAACAAAACAAATAGTATTAACATGAAACCAGGTTGAAAATAAACTAGGAGATCGCAGTCTGGTATTTTCTATCTTATGACTCAATAACTATAAATTCACTATAATCGTCTGGCAGATTTTCATATATTTCGACTGTATAAATATCGAAACACTAAACTGTTGATCAAGATCACTGAATCTCAACACTGTTTTTTTGACTATGAAGCATATTGTTGCTTAATGCATGAAGATATAACCTAATTATCACATAGAAGGTAGTTAGTCAAACCGGTCAGATAACTTACTAAGTGTACATCTTATATTTTAGTAAGTCATAGAACAAGACAAGACTACTGTTGAAACCGTTTATATCGACATCATCAAATCTACACTTCTTCATAGCTGTATTACTCAGTTACTCAGTTTCTTGTTTATTTGTTTTGATCATCCATATAAGTGTTGTCTTCCTTGAGAGACTAAAGGATGCACTGGATTCAAAACTACGACCCAAACAGGTTGGCTGGATTCAGGAAGAACAAATTATATGCGGACCAAATTGAAATGCTTCACATCATCATAGAACAGAGTATAGAATGGCAATCGACCCTCTACCTCAACTTCATCGACTTTGAGAAGGCCTTTGACAGCGTCCACCGAGAAGTAATTTGAAAACTGCTTCAATACTATGCAATACCACAAACCTTTATCAACCTCATTCAACAACGATATGAAAATGCCACATACCAAGTAATTCACAATGGGAAACTCAGTGGTGCTTTTGAATTGAAGACAGGAAGGAGTGAGACAAGGCTGCCACCTACTAACACTCATGATATTCCTGATTGTAGTGGACCGGATCATGCAGCACACAGTGAGTAGCGAGAAGAGGGGGATACACGCGACCGCGGAAAAGAACCTAGAAGACTTGGATATTGCAGATGACTTAGGTCTAATGTCACACAAACTTGAAGATCTACAGGCAAAAACTAACTAGTTGACAAAAGAGGCAGGGCGAGGCAGCGAAGATGGGATTTCAAGTGAACGTAGAGAAGACAGAGGTGATGAAGATACACAACCAACACCATCACCACCACCACCAACAACAAGAACAACAACAACCTCCAATCACCATCAACAGGAGAAACTTAAAAGAAATAGCCTTCTTCACCTATCTACGAAGCACTGTTTCAACTACAGGCGGCACACATGAGGACATAGAAGCAGCCAGGATCGGTAATATAGCAAGACAAGCATTCATTAACCTTAAACCAGTGTGGAGATCTTCTGCACTACACTCCGATCAACATAAAGCGTGAACTACATCCGGAGTTTCAACACCAATGTCAGTCAAGTCAGTACTTCTGTATGGCTCAGAGACTTGGCGGTGTGTTACGAAAAGCATTTTCAACAAACTACAGACACATTCATCAACAACTGCTGTCTAAGCTGGCTCGATACTAACACTAAATCTCAGATGGCCAGAATGGTGAGAATAAGCAACAAGGAACTCACTCTGGCTGGCTGGTGACGAACCAACCAACAACCTATCGCTCAACAAATATGCAATGGAAGGAAGTGGAGATGGATGGGATTGGACATGCACTGAGAAGACCATTCGGGGACATCATGTGCCAGGCCAGATCAGGCTGTCGAGTGGAACCCAGATGGGAAACGATGAGTTGGGTGTCGCAGGTGAGGCTGACATGGAGGAGATGATGTGAGGAGGAAATGAGAGGTTGTGGGCTGTCGTGGAGCCAGGTTGGATAGATTGTAGAGAAGAGAGTGGAATGAAGACGTGCTACTGAATCCCTATGTTCCATTAGGAACCCAAAGGACAAATAATAATAACAATAATACGTGTTGTCTTCATCTCATTTTCTTCTACTTCAATAAAATGAAGTGTAATACAAAGTAAGGAGGTATGTTTAACTGAAAAGAAGCAAATAATAACGGTGTTTTGACATTTATAACAAAGAATAACAGCTGTTTAACACATTTTGTTGAATTTCTTATTCAACCGAATAAAAACATGTCAAATTTGACGGTGGACAAAAAGAAGATGAATGAAGACAAGAGAAAGTGGAAATAAGTTTTTTCAGAATAACTTTCATTTTTAAGAAATATTCTTTACTTGTTATACTTTGAAATATTTATTTTTTATCTACTAAAAACTGGTTTTAGGTTAGTGTAAAAAAAATACCCTTAAAATTTACATGATATAAATTTATTTCCCTGTAAAGAATTTTTCTAGCTAACTTAAGAAATTGTAAAACACATAAAATGAAGGGGTTAATGATTATGCAAGAGAAAAGGCTACCTTGTCAAACTTCCAAAGCAGGGAGACCTAATCCTTTTCAAGAACTGGTGAGGAATCATGCTGCTGTCCATGTCCATTACAAGCAAAATATCATGCTGTATCATCCTGAAGAGACTAAAGAATGAGCTGGATTCAGAATTATGACCGGAACAGGCTGGCTGGTTGTCTGGCTTCAGGAAGACAAAATCATGTGTGGGTCAAATTGAAACGATACGCTAACCATCATCAAAGAACAGATCATAGAATGGCAGTCAACTCTCTACCTCAACTTCATCGATTTTGAAAAGGCCTTCAACAGCGTCGACCAACAAGTAATTTGACATTTGCTAAACACGAAAGTCTTAGTGCCACAAACGTTTATCAACCTCATTCAACAGGTATATGAAGACGCCGCAAACCAAGTGATTCATAATGGAAACGTCAGTGACGCCTTTGAACTAAAGACAGGAGTAAGACAAGGCTGCCTACTAACACCAATGATCCGCCTGATTGTGGTGGACTGAATCATGTAACAAACCACCGTGAAAAGCGGGAAGAGGGGCATATGCTCGCTGGACCGATGAAAAGAGCCTCGAAGATTCGGACTTCCTCGATAATTTACGTATCATGTCTTGTCGCACAAACCAGATCCACAAGCGAAAACTTACAAGTTGACAGAAGAGGCAGGGCAAGGTAGCGAAGATGGGACTTGAAGTCAATGTAGAGAAGATAGAGGTGAAGAAGATGCCCAACGAACAACAGCATGAACAGCAAGTACCAATCACCATGAACGGAAGAAACCTAAATGAAATAGTCTCTTCCACCTACCCAGGCAAGGCACCATCGTTTCAACTACACGCAACAGTGGCGGCACAGACGAGGACGTCAAAACCAGGATCAGAATTACAGCAAGACAGTCTTTCACTAATCTGAAATCACTTTGGAGATCTACTGCATTCCACTCAGCCTGCACAAAGCGTGAACAACATCCGGATTTTCAACACCAATACCAGTCAAGTCAGTGCTGCATATGGTTGAGAGACTTGGAGTGTCACTAAAATCACTTCCAACAACCTACAGACATTCATCAACAGCTGCCACCTACGCTGACTCGATACTGACACTGAAGATCAGGTAGGTGGCTAGAATGGTGAGAATAAGCAACAAGGAACTTACTGTGGCTGGCTGTCAACGAACCAACCAACAACCAATCACCCAACAAATATGCAGAAGAAGACAGTGGAGATGGATGGGATTGAGCATCCACTGAGAAGCCCGACTGGGGACATCATGCACCAGACCAGACAGTTGAGTGGAATTTAAAGGGGAAACGACCAGGTGGGTGTCTGAGGTGAGGGTGACATGGAGGAGATGGTGTGAGAAAGAAATGAGAGGTTGTGCGCAGTAGTGGGGCGAGGTTCAAAAGATTGTAGGGAACAGAGTGAAACGGAGACGTGCTACTGAAGCCCTATGTTTCACTAGGAATTCAACGGATTAGTAATAATAATAATAAAGTTGGTGGATGCATAACCGTAAGATATATGGAACAATTCTGAATATAATGGCTTCTGAATGAGTCGAACCAGTGAAGGAATCAACTGGTGACCAGGTCTCCGAGTTGAACTAATAGACAGTCAATCTGGTTAGCTTAAGGTTGTTGATTCGAAGCCTCCTGTGATCCACTGTTTCGTTTCACTAACAACCACCACTTCATACCGGTTATGCTGAGAAAGCCCGATAAACAGTTGAAAATATTTCTATGATGGTAAAATCCCTACACCCAGCAACTATTTATCCATTTGCCAATTATCTAATTTTTTGTATCTCACCCACCTTTTGTGCATAACATTCACATTCAATATTGTGTGTTCTCCTTTCCTGATTTCTCACCTATTCATCGTTGCCATTTTTGACATTGTTACATCTACTACTTATATGCATTCTTCTTCTCATTATATTATTATTTGTCCTTTGGGTTCCTAGTCGAACATATGGCTTCAGTTGCACGTCTCCATTCCACTCTATTCTCTCTAGTCTTCAAAACCTGTCTCCACGACTGCCCATAAGCTCTCATTTCTTTCTCACACCATCTCCTCCATGTCACCATCACCTGCGACGCCCAACTCGTCGTTTCCCTTTTTGGATTCTACTTGAGTGCCTGGCCTGGCGCGTGATGTCCCCAGTCGGGCTTCTCAGTGTAGGCCCAATCCTATCCATCTAAACTTTTTGCATAAGCATATTCGTTGAGCGATAGGTTGTTGGTTGGTTCGTTGACAGCCAGCCACAGTGAGTTCCTTGTTGCTTATTCTCACCATTCTGGCCATCTACCTGGTCTTCAGTGTCAGTATCGAGTCAGCGTAGGTGGCAGTTGTTGATGAATGTCTGTAGTTTGTTGGAAGTGCTTTTCATGACACGCCAAGTCTCTGAACCATACAGAAGCACTGAATTGACTGACATTGGTTTTAAAAATTCGGATGTTGTTCACGCTTTATGCTGACTGCAGTACAGTTGATCTCCACACTGGTTTAAGCTCGATGAACGCCTGTCTTGCTCTTCCAATCCTGGCTGACTTTGGCATCTTCGTGTGTGCCGACTGTAGTTAAAACATGGCTACCTAGATGGGTGAAATAGGCTACTTCCTTTAAGTTTCTCACGTTGATATATGCATTCGTATAGGTAGATATTACTACCTCAAATATCTTCACAAATAACATTGATGCTATCATGTTCATTGTCATGAACTCTCTTTCAAGACTAAAGAAAATAACATTTTCGTCTTCCATATTTTAAAATTTACTCATTTTCACTAAGAACATTTTTTTGAGACAATTTCACATGTAATTTTATTTCATTGAATAAAAATTATTCTAATAATGCTTAGTGATCATAATGGAAAATGATTAGTAGGATCCAGTTAGGAATTAGCATAAGACAAAATGGAATTCATTGCTCTTCAGTTTTCAGTCAATGCATTTAAACTAGTCTTATAGGTGGTCAGTAGTGATATTATTAGCTTAATGATAAGGTTTCAAACTGCTGCCTCAGATGACACCAGCCCAAAGATAACAAATTGTGTAGATTGAACATACTCTGTGATGATGAGTGCCAACAGTCATGAAACTCAAGTCTATAGCTTTCTACTGATTGCTTTCAACCAATTGGCATTTGTGAAAGTTATTTTCCACACCAAGAATCATTTTTTTGAAGAAAGACAAAGAAATAACGGAAAAGTGTTTTGGAGAAACAATTGTATAAAACATAATTAAAAGTAGTGATTCTTTCGGTCGAAATTCCTTCTTACAAAATGAATGTAGTGCATGCATTACTGATCATTTTGTATATAGTGGCTAGCAGTGGAATCCGGGATGCACAGGAGCCCATATGCTAATACGGTCCGATCAATTTGGTCCAAGCAACGACGGTATCATATAAGAACATTTATACTACTAAAGACTATACTCGTCGCAAAAGAAGTGGTTATCGTGGCTCGGTGGTGTAGTGGATAGCGCTCTGGGGTTTGAAGCGATCACTCCCGAGTCTGAATCCCAGTGGGAACAACATCACTCACTGGGAAACAGGTACATGCAGCTGGTGAGTCTCAAATAGCATGAAATGCGCATCCTGGATTCCACTACTAGTTACTATCCATCATTACTATCATAAGAGCACAGGTAATATCGAGGCAGCCGCACAGGATCCCATATGCCGATAGAGATCGATCAATTCGATCCAACCAACGATGGTATGGAAAAAATATTTCTTCGAACTTACTGTTAATAGTCGATCACCAACAAATATTCTTTTAGATAAACCAGCTGGTTTATTAGGTTGAATATATGAAATGAATGTTGCCTCAGATCCATCACCTCCAACAATATTCAATCCAAGACTTCCACGACTATTAGATGAAAAACCACGATGAATTGCCTCTGAATTATTCAGTCTTTCTCTACTAATCGATGAAACTCGTTTACGACCATTTCGATAAAGTGTGACTAGACGAGCATTTGGCCACTGATTAAGCAGATCAGATACTGAAGCAGCTGCAGCATAATCAACTATAATGTTTAAGTAAGGAATATTATAAGAATGATATAGTCAAACATTTTAATTTCAAAAAAGGAATGTGATTTTTTAAATGTATCTATTCTCAGTGAGTAATTCAAGTTTATTTACTGCATGAAAAGAACTCAAAAGTTAAGAACTTGAAAATCTTCTGCACGATTTACTTGTGTTGCTTAAAAGAAAAAAAACAATTACAGGTAATTATTAATATTTTTTCCTTGAGTTCCTAGTGAAGCTTCAGTAGCACGTCTCCATTCCACTCTGTTCTCTACAGTCTTTTCGATCTAGCGCCACGACTGCCCACAACCTCTCATTTCTTTCTCACACCATCTCCTCCATGTCACCCTCACCTCAGACACCCACCTGGTCGTTTCCCCTTTAAATTCCACTCAACTGTCTGGTCTGGTGCATGATGTCCCCAGTCGAGCTTCTCAGTGGATGCTCAATCCCATCCATCTCCACTGTCTTCTTCTGCATATTTGTTGGGTGATTGGTTGTTGGTTGGTTCGTTGACAGCCAGCCACAGTAAGTTCCTTGTTGCTTATTCTCACCATTCTAGCCACCTACCTGATCTTCAGTGTCAGTATCGAGTCAGCGTAGGTGGCAGCTGTTGATGAATGTCTGTAGGTTGTTGGAAGTGATTTTAGTGACACTCCAAGTCTCTCAACCATATGCAGCACTGACTTGACTGGTATTGGTGTTGAAAATCCGGATGTTGTTCACGCTTTGTGCAGGCTGAGTGGAATGCAGTAGATCTCCAAAGTGATTTCAGATTAGTGAAAGACTGTCTTGCTGTAATTCTGATCCTGGTTTTGACGTCCTCGTCTGTGCCGCCACTGTTGCGTGTAGTTGAAACGATGGTGCCTTGCCTGGGTAGGTGGAAGAGACTATTTCATTTAGGTTTCTTCCGTTCATGGTGATTGGTACTTGCTGTTCATGCCGTTGTTCGTTGGGCGTCTTCATCTCCTCCGTCTTCGCTACTTCTTCTGTCAATTTGTTAATTTTCGCTTATAGATCTTCTAGTTTGTGCGACAAGACATGATACATAAATCATCGGCGAAATCCAAATCTTCTAGGCTCTTTTCATCGGTCTATCTTAGGATTATTTTATGCCGTATATGATTTAGAAGTTTCAGTCAAATTTTATACATAATAAAATTTATATTCAATCTCTGCATGCGATCATGGACAGTCTCCTACTTCTTCCAGAAGCAACCCATAAGTTTTGACGAGGTTAATGGAAGACAAATCACTGAGAGAATCATACCTAAAACCACGATCTATCCCATTAGGCTGACTGAAATTCATCGAAAAAGTTGCTGAATTTATCGTTAAACAGTGAAGTCCTCTAATGGTCAAAAGTGTTTCCATAAAACTGTGAAGATGATTAGGAACATCTAGCTTTATCTCAGAGTGTTCACATAGAGGAGTTAAAACACTCTAAACTTTATATCAGCGGTGCAAGTAGGCTCCAAGATTAAAAACAAAAGGATGGATCATGAAACTGTCATTACCACCGGCAATCATTGGAATGCTGCATCTTATATTGTTCTACTGTCCTGTTCATCAAAATTCAAGTTAAAGGCTCATCGAGTCATCATCTGAGACAACTATCCGCTTTATTCTTAACAACCGGATAGTATCACAACCCATGAACAAATCATGAGTCATTACTGAAGAGCATACCAAATTTTTCATGCGACCAACCTTATACTAGATTATTTAATTTATGTACTTTGGTATCATTATTATTTTCACATCAGAGTTATACTCTTTGTGATCATTTTCAAATTTATCTTTATTTGTCTGACTCAGTAACTCATCACTTGACTAAGTTACTGGTCTATCAGAACACTCTTGGGTTAGTAAACAGTTACTACTGCAAACCTCTTCTTTATTGCGCTGTATGATACAACCATTCTAAAACCGGGTGTCATATTTAACCTGGCCACGCTTAACTTTCAGAACTTGATGAAAGTTTGACCAAAAATAGGTTTGAACAATGACACTGTATAGCCTCACTAGTGATGATCGCTCCATCTCAATATCCTAGTGAATAACTTACACACCTGTAAGGTCCTAAAAAGTGTGCTTCATCTGCTTCATCTATTTGAATTAGATGGCCTGATGTCAGTGACCGTAGGATCAGCTAGCACATAAAAACACCGATGGTCGTAATAGTTGGAACCAGTGATTACCATATCCTTCAGTCTGTTTATCATGTGAGCCAACAGAAATGCAGACGGTGGTTAAAACCTGAACAGTCAGTCAAACCGTCAACTTATAGATCAAAACCTATCCAGGAGACCTGTGATATCAGCAACCAATCATACCGATGTTGGTGTCTCACTAGTTGCCGTAGCTACTAAGCTTAAGCCACTTTAGAGATAGAACTACGGCAAAGTGGTTTGCGAAGACATTTTCTGTCAGCTTGTCGACTTCCTATAACATTTCAGGATCATTTATCTTCATAATGGCAGAATAAGAATGGCAGTCAACTCAACTCTACCTCAACTTCATCGACTTTGATAAGGCCTTTGACAGCGTCCACCGAGAAGTAATTTGGCAGCTGCTTCAACACTACGGAATGCCATAAACCTTTATCAATCTCATTCAACAACTGTATGAACACGTCACATGCCAAGTAATTCACAATGGGAAGCTCAGTGGTGCTTTTGAAGTGAAGACAGGAAGGAGTGAAACAAGCCTGTCAGCTATCACTCATGATATTTCTGGTTGTGATCGACTGGATGATGCAACAAACAGTGAGGAGCGAGAAGAGTAGGATACGCTGGCTGGACCTGGAAAAGATCCTAGAACATTTGGATTTCGTCAATGATGATTTATGTCAAATGTCACACAAACTTGAAGATGTACAAGCGAAAACTAACTGCTTGACAGAAGAGATGAGGCAACGAAGACAGAATTCCTTCAAGTGGATGTAGAGAAGACAGAGGTGGAGGTGATGAAGATACCCAACCAACGCCAACACCACCAACAACAACAAGCTGCAATCACCATGAATGGGAGAAACTTAAAGGAAGTAGCCTCTTTCACCTACCTAGACAAAGCAGCAGTGTTTCAACTACAGGTGGCTGCGGCACAGATGGGGACGTCAAAGTCAGCCAGGATCGGAAATACAGCAAGACAGGCGTCATTAACCTGAAATCAGTGTAGCGATCTTCCGCACTGCAGTCAGCATTAAGCGTGAACAACATCCGGATTTTCATCACCAATATCAAGTCAGTGCTTCTATGTGATGGTTGAGAGACTTGGCGGCGTGTTACGAAAGGCATTTCCAACAAACTACAGACAGACATTGATCAACAACTGCCTTCGCTGGCTGCTTACTGAAGCTGAGATGGATGGCCAGAATAATAAAAATAAGCAGCAAGTAACTCTGGTTGTCAGCGAACTAACCAACAACCTATCACTGAACAAATATGCAATGGAAGGAAGTGGAGATGGATGGGATTGGACATGCACTGAGAAGACCGTTCGGGGACATCACGCACCAGGCCAGACCAGGCTGTCGAGTGGAACCCAGATGGGAAGTGACGAGTTGGGCATCTGAGGTGATGGTGACATGGATGGAGTAGATGGTGTGAGGAAGAAATGAGATCTTGTGGGCAGTTGTGGAGCCAGGTTGAGAATATTTCAGAGGGGAGAGTGGAATGGAGACGTGCTACTGAAGCCGTATGTTCGACTAAGAACCCAAGGAATAAATAATAGTAATAATACACATCTCCAAACCATATATATTACGAATGAATAGAATACGCACACTTCGCTGACAGCCAACTTAGTACGCGAGAGCCATTGACTGCAACCCCGGGGTGAGTAGAGGGAAGAGTGAAGCTGGCAGATGGGAGAGTTTACTACTCCGAGAATATAGTCATAAATTAATCCTAAACACTTGAATAAGTATACACATAAAATATGACCTTGTCAGCAATTAGAGATATTTGCATAGTAAGAGTATAAGTTAACCAATCAACGAATTACATTACTGTCGGAGCAGAAATTAAACTACTACTCATACTGTAAAATGGCGTGAGAATGCCAAGTTAAAAATGTTCACATCGATAACAATCTTTTATACAAAACTGATGCCTTACAACGGAGGTACCTACTGAAACTTTTTTATATATACTATCAAAGTTGAACTTTGTGAAAAATCATGGTAACAATTAGGAAACAAAATAAATACTGTTTTTGCTTGTATTACACCGTCATTGATTGGACCGAAATGACCAGTCTCTGCTATGATATGGGCTCCTGTGCAGATGCCTTCATATTGTCTGTCTTTTAACTATGTATAGTAATGATGGGCAGTGGCTAGCAGTGGAATCCAGGATGCTCATTTCGTCCTATTTGGGACTCACCAGTCACCTGGATGTACCTGCTTCCCAGTGAGTGATGATGTGCCCACTGGGATTCGGACTCAGGAGCAATCGCTTCAATCGCGAGAGCGTTATCCACTACATCACCGAGCCACGATGGCACAGAAGCCCATATGCCAATAGAGACTGATCAATTTCGGTCCAATCGATGACGGTGTAATACAAGCAATTACACTAAACCTTTACCTGTCGCACAAGAAGTGGTTAACGTGGCTCGGTGGTGTAGTGGAGAACGCTCTCGCGTTTGAAGCGACCACTCCCGAGTCCAAGTCCCAGTGGGAACATCATCATTCACTGGGAAGCAGGTACATCCAGCTGACTGTTGAGTCCCAGATAGGACGAAATGGGCATTCTGGATTCCACTGCTAGCCACTGCCCATCATTACTAAACAAAATAAATAGTTTTACAAAAAGACTAATTGAGCTATGAAAGAAATATACTTCTTTTCAATTGGGTCCATCTTCATCTTGGGCTATACACTAATTTGCATAGTTTTATAACATAATCAAATTACCAATCACATGATGATATTTCAGAAGTGATGATGTAAATAATCAATAGAGTCACGAAAATTGGAATTATGAAACAA